TTTGAGGAATGTGTAATAGCTTGAGGTTGATTGCCGCTCAAGAATAGAACCTTCATAATCAGTTGATTTTAGGTCCTTGTAATTATTCTTCTTAAACAAAATTCCTCTACCAGGGGTCCCCTTTAAAATATTATTAGACTCTATATATAGTTAGTAGATAAACCTCCTTAGGCTTATGCATAAATTGACTAAGAAATCCTTAGGTTTAATTTTTTAATTTTATTTATTTAATATCCCTTATCACTTCAAGATAAGATTATAATTTCATCATATATAGAAAATAATATTTTCCCTTGATCATAATAAAAAAAGGAAAGTGTTCAATTGGAACATGAAAATGTGACTGAATTAATATTAGTTACTCTTCAAGACAGAGTGGAAGAAGGGAGGAGATTCTTGAGTGGGGAAAATGATCAAATGACCCATTATAGGGTAAATATTTGATGTTCTATTTTTAACCAGCTATACCTTCATATAAATGCATTTATATGGATATAATGTATACGCACACAAAATGGCTTTTTTTTGGTTAATTTCTGGTCATAAGTAACCACATATCATATCCATGTCAAAGATTATTGTGGGATACAAGGACTATTTGATTCCAAAGCAAAGCATAAGAAATCTTAAAGTCTGGAATGAATGAATGGAAAAAGTGGTTAAAGAGTCATTATCAATACAATTTATCTCAAACCCAACAATTTACTTTTTCATATATATATATATATCTTTATTTATTTTGGTGGCATGTCAAAATAATACATGTGTACATGTGTTACATAACTCAAATGGATAATCCATTTCATTTCACCCAAAAATGATCATATCTTGTAGGATACCAGTAGTCACAACCTTCACTTCTCTATTATATTCTCCAATATGTTAAAAGCCAAAATATATTGATATACTAATGTTTCAAAATTTATTGGAACCATATAAACCCACACTTGATACCAAAATTTATCTTCTACAGTATTTGGGGGACTCTTCTGACCAGAAAAAACTTAATAGTCAGCATTATTATTTATTTGATTTTTAGTTTATTATTTGTATTTATTATATTTTTACTATATCATCATTATTCTATAAGAAATTTCAATTCAAATTATTATTTTTATGTTTATTTTTTTAGTTTTATTTATTCAATATCCCTTATGACTTCAAGCTTTTAGCTAAGATCTATGAGTACTTATTGGTTTACATCCTAAATTTCCTATGTCCTTAAGAAGGTAGATCATATATTTCTATTAGGATATGAATATCTCTTGTTTTGATTGAGCAACTTCAATGGCCAAAAATACTTTAATTTTCTTAACATCTTAATATCAAAATCATTTAACAAATACTAAAGTATTTTTTTCTTTCTCATCATTTTTTGTGACTATTATGTCATCTACATAAACTAAGAGGATAATAATTCTACCTAAAGATGAATATTTAATCTGAGGATAATGATTCTCGGATGAATGTGTGCTCGAGAATTCATACATATAACATGAAGTCAAGCGTGAATATCTCCACCTTGTTTTAAAACTTTAATACTCATTAATTAGCCTTTAATCTTGCTGATTTCACATTTAAAAATAGAAAAATACTTGTTATTTATAAAATGCCAAGAACATGAAATTTTTGAGATTCAATTGTGAAAATAAATAGAAAAGAGTTAGATATGATTTTAACTTGATCTTAGACGAGTTTTGAAGGATTTATAAAAAGAATGAAATCATTTATCAAGATTTGAATAAGTTCTACTAATTTCAATCGAAACATATATGAAATAAAAATATTTTTTCATAAAATATAAATAAATGATAAAAATATGAATAAATGTTGAAAATAAGAAAAAAATTATTGTCCAAATTTAGTCTGCCTCCTAGGCAACTAGAGACACTGATGTGGCGGCTTGATTTTGTCTAGATGTGCCACACCACACTAGAAGTCGCATAAGTATCATATGGAAGCACTACGTCGCTTGCTGGAGAGATATGTCAAAACGAAGGGTTGACTACACTATAAACATCATCTAGAGAGAAAAGGAAAGAATTGACCCCTCATTGAAGGCCTTGAGTACAATCGTGGAAGGAAGGAATGAGCTTGCTGATCTTATGAGGCATTGATCATGTAAAAGGAGGAAAGAAAAAATGTCATATTTGTGACTATCATCTGGTTTAGAGATAATCGATAATGTCTATATTATCATAAAATAATTGATTATTATTTTTATATCCCTAATAGTGATATGTGCAAGAACTAAAGTTCTTAGTAGTGTGGCACATATTTTATAACACTTATCTGTAGAAATGACATGCATATATTATAATGCTTCATTTTGTCTTCGATAAGTCCCCAATCCTAGCACAAGCCATTTGCCATAAGGATGGCTGCTTACTTAAATATATTTATTTTTTAAAGAAGAAGTACATTAACTCTTTTAACTTCTAACCTTCGAAATTAACTATATAAAACTATATTTTATTCCACTAGTTAAAAAAATAATCTACTTAAATGAGACAAACCAAGAACTAAAAATCAAGCATTAACAATAGAATAATTATTGAATTAAAAGAAGTGAAAAATGTTCTATAAGTGGGAGAGAGGCACCTAAATGACATGAATTGAGAAATGAGATACTTAGGATTTCTAAAATATTTTCCCTTCCGTTATCTAAAGGCTATAGGTAGGTCTTCTTAATTTTCCTCTAATAACAAAGGTTCACTAATTTTCTCTTGGATTCTCATTTTCATGGGGTAGTGTAGGTGTAGTCACCTTGAATATTGGAAGAGGTGAAGTTTCATCAAGAGATTGTATTGATAACATGAAGTTTCCACCTTCTTGTTCCCCATCATCATCCTTAGATATAATTTCTCCCTCAAGAGAGATTTTTCGTACTAAAAAATGATTTATGCTCACTAAAAGTCACATTAATTGAAATAAATATTTCTTTGATGAAGGATGATAACATTTATCCTTTCTTAGTGTTTGGATATCCGAAAAAAATACATTTTAACTCTCTAGGGTCAAGCTTCCTTGATTGTGGACACATACCATATATCTGAAAATCTTAGGAATCAAATTCATCTTTAATCTAACATATGGGCAATAGGATGAAAAAAACATCTAATAAAATTTTAAATTCTAAGACCTTTGTTGGTAAACAATTTATGAGGTGGGGGAATATTAATACCACTTCTCCTAAAATGTTTTTGGTACCCCATTTTGGAATAGAAGTGCTCTAGCGACTTATAATAAGTATATGTTCTTTCTTTTGATCACCCCATTTGCTGTGAGTTGCCGACGCATGAAGATTCATGAATGATTCCTTCCATTTGAAAGAATTAATTTATAATTTGATTAAAATAATTTCCCACATTATCTAATCTAAATGTTTTGATTGTGTTTCAAATTGATTCTTAATTAATGTACAAAATTATTGAAGGACTTTACTCACTTTCGATTTGTGATTTAGTAAATAAATTCATGTAGTTCACGAGTATTTATCTATAAATGTTGCAAACCATCTCACTCCCAAGACACTAGGAGTCGATGAGGGTTCCTGCAGATCACTGTGAACAAACTGCTTAGAGGAGATGATGATAAAATTTTGAAAATTCACACACATCGCATTTAAATCCATCAATATTACATTTCAAAAATAACTTTGGAAACAAATGTTTTCAATGTCTTGGAAAGAAGATAACCAAGACGATAATGATATAGCAAAAGTCCTTAGGTGAAAAAGGATTGTCATCTCCACACCCTAATGGAGATTGCAAGCCCATCGTGTAGGTGTGAGTTAAGGTTCCAAGGTGATAGAGGCCGCTGCACTCTTTAGCACTTTCAATCCAATTACTCATCACTTTGTCATATTACAATCAACAGTCACGTTATATTTATATCATCTATTTATTTTTTAATAGAAATTAAATTGATAGAAAACTTACTTTGGCACGTAATATATTTTTAGTGGTGCTTAAAGAATCAATTTTCACATTACTTTTGATAAGTCTTTATTATCATAAGTTAATAATTAATTAATAAAATATTTAAAGTCTTAACTCATGATAAATAGATTTATATTTTTTCTACTAAATTGAGAAAAAATATTTTTAGTTGGTTAATTTGAATTTTTCAGTGAATTATTGGATTTTATGTAAATTTATATATTTTTTTATAATCATATTTTAGAGATAAAATAAAGAAAAATAAAATAAAATAAAAATATATATAAAAAGAGGAGACCTACTAGCTAGTCAAGCCTACAACCATGTTGGAATCATAATTGGGCAAAGCCGCAAGCAAGGGGCTTGAATGACTAATTGGTTGAGAATATGTGTACATTATTGTTCTTCCACATCAGTGATGGCCAACCAAGCATAGGGTAGGAACTAGTTGTACACACATGAGAGAGAGTATATTGATGACAAAAAGAAGTATTATTATATATATTTTTTTAAAAATGGGTAACAACTGACATGAGACTAAATTGACTCTAGTGGCTAGAAGTAAGTTTTACATATTTTTATACATATAATATCCCTAATTTATGAGAAGGACTACCTCATGACATCACTAGATAAGAGTATGAGTGTATTTGTTTCACTCTCTCTCACATAGCTGAGTGACCAATAAGGATTTGAATTCAAGAAGAGCTAAAACTTATATTTTTATTTGACTAAATCAAGATTTTTTATAGAGTGCTTGATAAGTTTTCATTATCATGAGTTCATAATTAGTAAATAATATAGTTTTAGCCTTAACTCATGATAAAGAGACTTATATTTGTGTTAAATTGTGAAAAGTGGTTTTTAGTTGATTAACGTGAATTTTTGGCTAATTATGTGATTTTCTGTGAATTTAAATGAAGAAAAAGAAATTAAAATAAAAATATAGCAAAAGAGGGACCCGTTGGCTAGCCGGGCCCACAAGTGGGTTGGAAGCGGAGTCAGGGGGAGCCGCGAGCAGGGGCTCAAGTGGCTAGGACCGATGGAGACATGTGTGCATCACTCCCCTTCCACGTCACTAGTGGCCAACTGGTTGTGAGGCAAGGAGTGGTCGTACACGCGAGAGAAAAAGACTCATTGCGACTTTCCTCCCAAAGTCAAAACTTGTATTTTTATATGATTATCGTGACTTTCCTACAGATCACCAGTGAAGGATTAAGCCACCAAAATCGCTGGATCATCGGCAAAAATCTCGTCAATGCAATTCATGGAGCATGGTTACTAAAATTGTTGAATGATTCGCAATAAAAGGATCGCAAATCCATTGAGTAAATCATCTCCGATTGATCGAAGAACAAGCCGTCATCGAGAAGAGGACAATCCGCCACCTCTTAAGAGCGTATTAGATGCGATGAAGAGCCTCCTCTTGCTACGCAAACTTGAGGATGAAGCTCCTTAACACGTGCCCCACCTCCATCCAGCTCCTCTTCATCGGGTGATAGTTGCTGGAGAGCTATTTCTAAAAATTTAAAAAGTATTTTTTTTAGTTTAATAAATTTAAAATTTACTTAAGTTATTATAAAACGATTAGGTATGCTAAATTTTAGCATTAGTTTTGGGTATGTATTACATCATGCAAATTTTTTTCTCTTAAAGTCAGCAAAAAATCTAATTTTTATTTTTATTTTCTTATAGAAAAAAAGACAATAATGAAGATCAAAAGTCAAGGGTTGCATCAGATTAAAAAAGAGGGTAACTGATAAGTCTTCATTATCATGAGTTAATAATTAGTAAATAATATAGTTTTAGCCTTAACTCATGATAAATAGCCTTATATTTGTGTTAAAGTGTGAAAAGTAGTTTTCAGTTGATTAACGTGAATTTTTGGATAATTATGTGATTTTATATGACTTTTACAGTCTTACTTTTGAGATAAATGAAGGAAAAGAAATTAAAATAAAACTATAGCAAAATGAGGGGGACCCGCTGGCCAGCTGGGCCCGCAAGTAGGTCGGAAGCGCAATCGGGTAGGAGCCGCAAGTAGGGGCTCGAGCGGCTTGAACCAATGGGGGCACGTGTGCGCCACTCCCCTTCCACGTCACTAGTGGTCAGCCGGCTGTGGGACAAAGAGTGGTCGTACACGCGCAAGAAAGAGACTTGATCGGGAATGTAATATTACTTTATATTCACTAGAAACGTCGGCGCACAACCGATGTGGGACTAAACCCACGTCACCTTCCCCAAAAAGGGCAGGCAATCGGCGGGGGTTCGAATCCTCCCAGAGCCAAAACTCATATTTTTTATCTGATTATCGCGACTTTTTTGTAGATCGCCGGTGAAGGATTAAGCAACCAGAATTGCTAGATCATCGGCGAAAATCTCGTCAACACGATTCGCAGAGCATTGTTACTAAAATTGTTGAATGATTTGCGATAAAAGGATCGCGAATCATTGAGTAAAGCATCTCTGATTGATTGACGAACAAGTTGTCGTCGAAAAGAAGACGATCCGCCGGGAGACGAGTCACCTCCTCTTGAGAGCGTACCAGATGTGATGAAGAGCCTCCTCTTGCTGCGCAGACCTGAGGATGAAGCTCCCTGACACATGCCCCACTTCCATCCAGTTCCTCTTCGTCGGGTAACAGCCGCCAGAGAGCCGCAAAGTTGCCGTTTTTCCGCTCTGCCGGGTGACAGCTGCTGGAGACGATTTGACGACCCACTTCATTGATCTTTAGACTTCGTAAGGAGATCTAGAGATTGCCCACGTCGTCCTTGTCCAAGGAGAGCCTTCGAGGCCATGGACACTGCACGACGATCCTCCCGAATGCTCAGGATTCTAGTGCATCGCCGATGTATCACCATCGCGACGCTGGAACTTTGTTTTCCTACTTTCAACTTAATTTACATTTCATTTAGTGATAATTTGTTGATTTTAAATTTACCTAGATATACTTCATTTCATTACGATTCTTCTGGCTTTTACAGATTTTAATTTGATCAATTAAATCATCTGTAATCATTTACGTAAGAATCGTCAGGCGGAACTCTATTTCTGCCCGATTCGCGTTCACCAGGTGCTGACGTCATCTTGACGTCCGCACCCTTATTTCCTTTTTCGTGAATTTTAAATATATTTCTTTTTCATTTCCTAGTATAAAATTTATAGAAAATAGTGTTCTTTGCAGAAAATTCTAAATAATTACAAGATATTATATTACATCCTTATGATCGACTTGAAAAATTACCGCTATTTTTGGAAGTTTTATTGAATTATAATTGATATATTTGTTCAGAAATACTTCTAAATATCTGAAAATTTGTATTTTCTAGTTTTATAAATTTTATATTTGCGTGATTTAATATACAACGACTAAGTCACGTCAGTAACTTATCCTTGATTTTTTTAGAAAATAATATTAAATTTATAGATAAAGAATCAAGATATTAATATAATTATTGCATGCACAATTAATTTCAAACCTTTAGATATGACCATAGTCCATTCAATTCAATGTTCCACCCTAGATTTGGAGTTCAATCTAGTCAAATAGATGATACTTTTTATGATATAAATGTATGAAGAGATATATCACATTAATGATAGGATGAGGAGCGTTGGAGATATGTTAGACTATATAGCTGAAAATGTAGAACAACCTATGGAGCAAAATACTAAATTTATCTAATTTTTTCAATCTATGATGGAAAATTTGAGAACTAATATATCAAATAATCAAATATTTATAATAATCAAATATTCTCTTCACCTATATTAGAGAGTTGTAATATTCAAAATCAGTTTTCATATCCTCCAATATAAGATTGAAACATCAACCCCCAAGCATCAACATTTTAGAGGAAGCATGGAGAATGTAGATGAGCCATTAGAAGTAAATGAGAATACTATGGCTGAAAATATAGTAACTGAAAATTTGAGTAATATAACTTACTACTCATGATTAATGAACGAATATAGTGAGGATGATGAAGAGGTAGACCCCTTAAATGAAGAAATAGTAGTTAATTATGAAATAATTATTCAAATTTAAGTAGAAGGGAGTAAAGGCACAAATAAAGAAAATAGATTTCAAGTGATGAAAAATTAGCTAATTTGGGAGATGTAGGAGATAAAAGTAAGAAATTCAATCAGTATTTTTGAGCAATAGATTTTGACAGTGATGATGATGATGTATATCACATAGAAAAATTAGAACATGATAGCTCTTGGGAGGATGAAGAATTTGATGAATTGACAAATAAAAATTTAGAAAAAGAGTTGACTCAACTAATGAGGAGAAACAAAATTGATGAATATGAACCAAGAAATAATTTGAGAGGAGAAAATTTGAATTTGAATGATTCCATTGAATTTGAAATTAAAGTAGACAATTCTCCCATCCTAAAAACTCCACAACCCCATAGAAGGGTGGATCTTACAAATAAAAAAAATTCACTAATAAATGGGTTAGTAGAGAAATTACATATATCATTTTGGATAAAAAATGGTTAAGTTAGATATGAGCTAATTTGAAAATCATATGGCATATCAGATTTCATAGTGAATTAATAGAAAATATTTATTAATGAATGGGAGCCTTAAAAAATGAGATAAAAATGAGGAGAGGTTCTTTTCAAAATGAAATATTAATTTTGAGATTTTTTTTGTTAATTTCTATTTTTATTTTGATGGAAGTATTTCAAGGAATATTGACTGAATATTTTCTATTGTTGTAAACAAAATTCAGCAAATTTATAATTTATAAATACTAGAAAATAAGCCAAGTTAGGATAATTTAATTTTATAGGGGTTTTCCAGCTTGAATGCTAGGAAGATAAGAAATTAGCTAATTATATTTATAATTTCCATTTGATAGACTAATTTTTTAGAATTTTTATTTTCAAAAATTAAAAAAAAATAAAAGAAGAAATTGTGACTTATAACATTAGCCGTTATCAGCCTACGAAGAACACCCCCAAATTCGAGTTGTTGGAAATATGTCGACTCGTATTTCTCAAAATCAAAGTCAAAATACTTAGAAATAAACTTGGATTTGAAAATAGAAATTATTCTAAACACAATGTAGAACTGAATGGAACTTTTTATAAATTAAAAAGAAAGTAAAATCATGCTAAGGTTCAAGTTTTACGGAAGAATGGGTGGAATGGTTGACGATCAAATTTCTGCCCAAATTTGATAGATTTGTGCAGGCAAGGTGCACCAAATGGATTCCTACACAATCTCTAGTCGATAAATGACAATCCCAACAGTTGTCACTTGCTGGAACTAGTTGACAGTAGTGGTTGGACTCCGAGTGTGCCATGGTGTTCGGAGAAGGATCCTCAGAAGAAATTCTTCGTTGTTTGTATCCAGTGAAGAATGGGACAAGTTCGTGGATGAAGTTTAGCTTCGTAGAGAAGTCAAAAAGAAATCCATCGTTTGTATCTAACAGATGTTTGGGCGAATTCAGTGTTCGTTGCCACTGGAGGAGAGAGAAAATGGTTGTGGAGAGTGATAGATTGATCGAAGATGCCCCATCCTTCCTCCTCCCAATGTTTTTCAATCTTCTTGTGCAATAATTCTGTCGATTTCATTGAATCATCTGCCAAACTTCTTGCTGTATCGTTACATCTGTTGTTGATGTGGAAAACCTAAAAAAAGAAATTAGTCTCATATTTTAATTTTATTATTATTATATTATTATTTATCATAATAAGCTCAGAAAAAATCAAGAAATAAATGCAATTAACATAGAAACATTTTGATAATAATATTAACCATTGGAAAAACCTATCAAAATATTTCATCATCAATTTCATCATGTAATTTCTAGAAATTAACAATATAACCATATAAATAAGTTTAATATCATTTTTTCTATATTACAAGAATTTATAAATATTTCTTTAAGATTACATAATAAAATATAAAATATTAAGTATTTTATCATGTAATTAATGAGAGTTATCAAATATATATGAAGAACATAAAATTATGCTAAATTTGAAAAAGAATATTATGAAACGTATCTTGAGAAAAAAATATATTTTGATTGCCATATATCATCTCACAAGATGATCTAAGTTATGTCTACCTAAATGATGGCGAGGGGGACTCGTCTCCATCAGCTCAGGAGACACCAACAGTCTGAGTTCAGCCCGATCGAAGTGCGAAGATGAAGGAGCATGGCTTTCGCTACACGGCCTAGCCCTTTAGGACAACGACATTCCACCTCCGCGACGACGACGAGCTTGAGCTCACCCTTATCTTTCTTTGTGTTTTCACGTGACTTGTTGGGCCTCGTGTTTGTGTGTTGGCGGGCCCAATTCTATGTGTGTATTGTTGTTTGTGTCTCCCTTTCTTTAGGGTTTTATTGGGTCTCTCTTTTGAGGCCCAATTAAAACCATAAGGGGGGGGGACCTAGGCTTCTTTCCTTTTTGGGCTTCTTTTGGGGCTTATTTGGGTCTTCATTTGAGGCCCACTTAAGCACTATACGAGGGCCCTCCTCTTTCTCCTTTTAGGAGAGCTTATTGAGTCTCTCTTTTAGAGGCCCAATAAGCCCCTCTTGTAGCCTTTTGTGGCTTAAGGGCTTGAGGGCCTCAAGTGGCCCACCTCCCCTTAACCCACTTGTGGGCCCCATATAAGGCGAGGTAGGACCCCCCCTCAAGAGAGCGCCGTATTTTTGAGAGAGATTATCGTTTTGTGAGTACCTTCTTCGTGATCTAGGATAGGGAGGGAAGGAGGAAGAGGAAGGCCGTCGATACCCCATTCGAGGACATCGTTCCTCGTGACGCTGCTGCCCGAGAAGTCCCGCCGCCGGCCATCTCATTGCCGCCCGGGAGTTCGCCGCCGTCACCGGACGAAATGGTCGCGGTTGCCGCTGCAGCCGCCGCCGCCTCTGCTGGAACCCCGTCACGCCGTCGTGACGAAAGAGGCTCGCTTCGCCTCCCTACGAGCCGTCGCCGAGCACTCCGCCGGAGTCTCTCGACTCCTGGTTCGACTGCCGCCTCTTCCTTCGGAACTCCACCCCAAACTCGCCGGGGCCGCCCTCCGCCGCTCCGCCCAATCGCTGGCCGTTCGCCGACGAACGCCAACCTGCCGCCGACGTCGGGAGAGACCCTGCAGCCGTGCCGACGAGCCAGAACCAGTCCAAGCTCCTCACAGGCCCCCGCCGGAGTTTCCCGACGCTCCGCCGCCGTCGCGCCGTTTCCGGTGCCACTTAGACCAGGAGAGCTCAACCCTCACTGGTATCGTCGGCCGGATCGTCTCCTTCCTCTGCTCCGCTTCCCGGCGCCACCAGAGAGGGCCGATCCTTCCGGCGACGGTTGGGTCTCCGCCCAACCGCCGCCGACGCTCGGCATTCCCGCCGAAGCGCCGCTGACGCTCGGCATTCCGGCCGAAGCGCCGCTGACGCTCGGCATTCCGGCCGAAGCGCCGCTGACGCTCGGCATTCCGGCCGAAGCGCCGCTGACGCTCGGCCTTCCCGCCGAAGCGCCGCCGACGCTCGACATTCCCGCCAAAGCGCCGCTGACGCTCGGCATTCCTGCCGAAGCGCCGCAGACGCTCGGCCTTCCCGCCGAAGCGCTGCCGCCACGATCGCCCCGCGCGCCGGCTCCTGCGGTCCGCGCGCCCACCCGGCGCCACCGCCCGCGTGCCCTAGGGCACGCCGCGCGGCTTGCCGCGCGCACCCGCTAGCGTGCCCTTCGGCCCACCAGCGGGCCCACGCCCGCTAGCGTGCCCTTCGGCCCACCAGTGGGCCCACGCCCGCTAGCATGCCCTTCGGCCCACCTGCAGGCCCACGCCCACGCCGACTGTGCCACGCCCTAAGACGACGACTTCTGCGACTCTCGACTAGGACCGATCGTCGACGCTGAGCATCTTTTCACCGGATGCCTCTGCCTTCGTCGAATCTCTGCTCCGTCACGACCCGCCGGGCTATGCAGCCCCAAAAGTTAGCCCCGTACCCCTTCTTACTTAAGTTTAATTATCTTTCAAAGGGTTTTCTCGGGGGGAGCACATAGACAGGATAGGACAGGTTATCGGATCGTGACTTCCAATGCTGTGCCAGACTCGTCACAGTTCGTGAGTTGCAGCCCTAGGCTACCTCACGACGATCGTTCCGCCGTCTGTCTGGACGTGGACCGAGAGGGCCTCACACTTACCATCGTCGAGTGTTTCCCTAGGTTGTCCTAAGTTGATCATGCATATTGGTATGCCTGCTTGTACTTAAGTTACGTGGTCAGACCTAGAGTCTAGGGTTCAGACATTTTTGTCGGATCGGTCTGACTACCCCATCCCGGGTCTCGAGTATCATTGATCAGGTACAAGGGCAGAAATAGAGTTCCACCTGGCAATTCTTACGTAAGCAATTACAAACGATTTAATTGATCAAATTCAGATATGTAAAAGTCGGAAGAATTGTAATTGAATGAAATATATATTGGCAAATTTAAATCACAAAATTATCACTAAATGAAGCGTAAATTAAGTTGAAAGCAGGAGAACATAGTTTCAACATCGTGGTGGCGATGTGTTAGTGATGCACGAGAATCCTAAGCGTTCGGGAGGATCATCGTGTAGTGTCCATGACCTTGAAAGCTCTTCTTGGACAAGGACGATGTGGGTAATCTCTAGATCTCTTTGCGAAGTTTAGAGATCAATGAAATGGGTTGTCAAATCGTCTCCAGCAGCTGTCACTTGGCGAAGTGGAAAAACAACTTTGTGGCTATCTGGCGGCTATCACTTGACAGAGAGGAGTTAGATGAAGGTGGGGCACATGTTAGGGAGCTTCATCCTCAAGTCCACGCAGCAAGAGGAGGCTCTTCATCGTATCTAGTATGCTCTCAGGAGGTGGCGACTCGTCTCTCAACGGAACGTCCTCTTCTCGATGATGTCTTGTTCGTTGATCAAGTGGAGATGATTTACTCGATATATTCACGATCCTTTTATCACAAATTATTTTAACAATTTTAGTAACAATATTCCACAAATCGCATTGATGAGATTTTCGTCGATGATCAAGTAATTCTGACGGCTTAATTCTTCACTAGCGATATGTAGGAAAGTCACGATTTAATCAGATAAAAATAAGAGTTTTGCCTCTAGGAGGATTCGAATCCGTGCCGATTACTCACTTGTATGAGAAAGATTGAAATAAGTACTCTAATGCCCTTATGAAGTGACATGGTATATCTTTGTTATAAAGAAGGGGTATTTTAGGTATTAAAATCTTCAAACCCTTTCGAGGGAAGGTGTGACGCGGATTTAGTCCCACATCGCTTGTGTGTCGAAGTTCGGGACGAATATATAGTAATATTACATTTGCAAGCAATGAGTCCCTTTCACCCGCATGTACGACCACTCCTTGCCTCACGATCGGTTGACCACACACATGTATGACCACTGGTGATGTGGAAGGGGGGTGGCACACACGTGCCCCCATTAGTCTATAGACACTTGAGCCCCTACTCACAATTCCTCTCTAATTGCGCTTCCGACCCACTTGTAGGCCCGGCTAGTAGATGGGTCCCCTCCTTTTTCTATCTTTTTATTTTATTTTATTTTTCTTCAATTATCTCAAAAATTAGATTATAAAAATTATATAAATTCACATAATTAGCTAAAAAATCACATTAATCAACTTAAAATCACTTTTCATACTTTCACACAAATATAAGTTTATTTATCATAAGATAAGGCTAAAAATATATTATTTATTAATTATTAACTCATGATAATGATGACTTATTAGCATCTAAGATCAATGATGGAGAAAACAAATTACATGTCATGTGCTACAAAGAATCTTAGAGTCTCATTGGAGGAGCCTATGTCGCTAGATGTCTTGGCTGATGTCAACCTTTAGTCCTATTAGCACTCTAATAGGGTTTATCTCCAAGGTTGATGTTCCATCTAGAGTTGGCATGATGGCAAGAAGAACTTGACCTCTTGATTGAAGACACTCTTGAGCTTGTAGCATTTGTGAGGAGAATGTCACGCCCTCCTAGAATTGGTGTACCATAGGTTGTCCTTGTGTTCGCCCTTCTTTACTCCTACACTTGGTTAGTGTGTTGGACCTCCTCCTTCTCTATGCTTAACCACAAATGCAGTGTTATTTGTGTTTGAATTTGATCATACTCAAGATTAAGGCCACTGAGGAATTTGTAAATCTGATCAATCTTAATGTATTTCTTGAAAAAGGTTATATATTGTGGATCTATTGTGATAATTGGCTTATATGGATCAATTTTGAGCCATAGACACTCTAACTCAATCACATATTTTTAACTGATTTTGTGGTATATGTTACACTCATAACATTTGATAGAAGTCAAAAAGTTTGCTGTCCATAAAGTTCATTTGAAAATGCTTTGTTAGCTTTTTCCCAAATATCTCTTACAGTCAAAAGATACAAATAATTTTGCATTAATTTCTAAGGTTATGGTGCTCACGAGCCATGACTTAATTATAACATCCTCTTTATTCCATAGCCTAAATCATACATCTCTTGATTCAAGTGCTAGATCTAAGATGTGGTCTACTTTTATTTTGTCAGAATCAGCTCAATGAACTCACTCACTCCATTAGAGTAAGTTATTGTCATTCAATTTGAATTTACTCAAAATGTTTGCAACTCTAAGGCATATTTGATTATATTAACAATCTAAGGTACTAAAGAAGCTATATTTTCTAAATTTTGTGGCATATCTTGGTTCCCTAAGTTGGTGGGGTAAGACTCCTGTCCATTTTCCCCTCTCGAGCTTTGTCCTCTCTCCTTCAGCTGCTACATCAGCTTATTTAAGACTTCTTCTCCCATCCATATTTTTGGATAATCAATATACCATAGAATTTGTATGAAAGTACTGGAGAAGGACAACATGTTCAATAAAAATTTGAGCAAAAATTAACTTACTGTATGCTATTTTAATTCAGTAAAAGATAGTACTCATAAATCAAAAAGGCATGGATGGAATTTAATGTCGTGCTGAAATAAACTGAAACAAGGTAAAACAAGAGATCTAGATGGACTGAAAATAACTGGCATAAAATAAAATTCAGCAGAACAAAAAGAAAGTATTTATAGATTTTTAGAATTTCAAATATAGAACAAAGAACTAACAAAATTGATGCCCATTGAAATCAAAATGAAATGTAGTACTATGCATAGTTCTATATTATGATTTTTTTTTTTGGTTTTTAAAGAACGATGGAAATAAATTGTAAGAACACAAATGTGCTTAAAATCAGAATCCTTCAAAATTAATATAAATCACCAATTGTGAAAATTCTCCCGGGCAATGGCACCAAAAAATTAATAGCTCTTAAGTCTCTATTATTTATAAACTGATTTTTACAAGAATAGTTTTTTGATGAATTAGAGGAAAACCAGGTCGAACACAAGGAGAGTTTTGAATTAGTTGATGTATATTAATTAATAATCATATTCTGATTTGTTTACTCTCTGAAATCTAGCAGCCATGAATACAAATATTTAATGCACATTGAGAGGAAGATTTCTCTCAAGGTTCAACTGGCTACCTTGTAAGTAAATTACAGATAACCGGTAGGGATGATTCCCCACTTCCTTCAACAACTTTGACTATTCAAAATCGACGAGACAAAGGGGGGTAGAATTTCACAAAATTTAGATTGTATTAACTAGGATAAAAAAAGTTTGATTACATAAATCAAAGGAACAAAACGAAAATGATTTCTCCCTCTTGTTTTGACAGATGTGGGGAGAGAATAGCGGCCTCACATAGGGGCATCTTTGGTTGATCCTCTTCTTTTTGTGCCAAGGGAGGAGACCCACGATCATTGCCAGTGCAGTTATCACCAAAAGGGGGGGAAGGGACGAGCTGGCCCACCTATGGTGTGCTGTGGGTGGCTCCAAGGGAGAGAGGAGGAGCAAGCCATCCCTATGGTAAAAAAGGGACAGACCAAAGGAAGAAAAGAGGAATGAGAGGGCTGATCGTGAATGAGGGTTTCTCAGCCAGCAGCTGGTCCTCTTTTGGAATCATATGCCCTACTGTAGACATACCCTTTATGCCCCTCTCTATGTAAAAATAACAAGTCAATTTTACAGTTTTAACTTTTTATGTTCACTAATTTTTCAATAGTCCATGATGAAACTAAGAAAATATGTATGCTCATGCTCATGCATCATAATTATCTATTAATCATCTTTCCTCCAACAACTATTAATCATATACTTCTCTTCTCATTTATCTTGATGTTCTCATCCTAGTAGAAAATAGGAAAATGATACAATTTAGAAACCATCATGTGAAAATGCAGAAGTAGAATAGTAAATGTGTACTCATCATATTTCTATATTACTAAGGAATTAAATATTAATCTTCTCGCCCCTTTACTATAATGATTGCTCAAATTATCAAGCCCCAATGAAATAGATTATTGAGGATGATCCATTAACCTTCACAGTGGGAAGGAGAAAATATGGTGACAAGTAGGAGGGCAAAGCTGAAGCACATGAGGGTGACTGAGGGAGCCATCTCAAACCTTTTCCCACTGCCGAACTATTGCTCCTTCATAGGTAGAAACGTCGTCTCTTGCATATTTAAATACTCCCAAGGAAGAAGGCCACTATTGATACAATAGTGTCCTTCTTTGGGAGTAATTTCTGGTTTCCAGGTCAACTCGCTAAAACTTTGAGAGAAAAATTCACCTAAAAATTTACAGGAGAGGATACCACGCATGGGATTGACAAGCTGCACGCCATGTGCCCATTGAGGCGTTGAAAATTGTTGCTTGAATGGTGGCTTAGTGGAGGGAAGTAGGTCAACTTTGAAAACAGCTGGTGTGGTGATGGAAAAGGCATTTACACGAATCATATCTTACAAATTTGACATTTGGAGCATTGTATCTTGATATTAATCTAAATGTGGAACTCCCATCAGGATATTATCTGACCTCCATTTTGAGTGCATCATTTGAGTGATCACAATTTACTTAGTCTTCCTTTCTATTCAAGAACATGAATGATCTTATGAATCCCATGGTACTCAAATGGGTGGTTTTGCAAAAATGTCTAGGGCTATGATGCATAAAGGACATTCTATCAGCGCATTAAAATATTTAAATGCGAGTACATTTGATTATAAAAGTCTGATATTTATGCAAAAAATCGTATTATTAATCTTCCTACGTCATAATCTAACATTTATTGAGAACTTTCATGCTCATCAAGGCCCATGCTCACATAATTTGCATGAAAATACTTTGAAGGATTGTCTATTTCATATATTATCATAGGATGGAAAGTCTTGAACATTTTTGTTCTCGAATTTATTTATTTTGTAGCAATTTTTTTGCATACCTTATTTAAATGTTCCATATCCAAACAAATTTAAAGTTTATTTATTAACTCAAGTGAAAATTGTGATCTATCATTTCTTCATGAAATTAAGGAGGGAAACATTTATCTTAGAACTTTTTTTTATTAACTTTAGTTAAATTGCATATTTAAAAAATATGACATGAAAGCATTTTTATTATCATTAATTTCTTTGAAGCTTTGTCAAATAGGGTGACCATAAGTTGGCCAAATGGAACTTCTACAACATCAGCAATTAATTACTTTAAAGTGATTAGACTATTAATACAAAATAGAATTTTTAAGTTATATATTTTTCTTGTGATTCTTCATCCTTGTCATTATCACTTTACTTAAGACTTTGGGATTAATTCCTAAAAATATATCTAATTGTCAATTATGTATGTTGTAAAATTTTTTAAATAAAGAATATGTTAAATGCCACAAAAATATTAAAAAAATACATTTTATGCCTTGATTAAAAAAGATGATCTCTCTCTCTCTCTCTCTCTCTCTCTCTCTCTCTCTCTCTCTCTCTCTCTCTCTCTCCAATACTCATTTCTTGTTGACAACCCAAGACACCTTCCCACCATGGAAGAAATCCCTAGTCTCTTGTTGCATAGATGGTACTTGGGTGGCCAGTTGCCATGAGAGATTTGTGAAGATTGTTTGTCTCGGTAGCAGCCCCGTGTGTAGAAACCTGAGGAAGAGGGTGCATTGACATAATAGTAGTGTCTCTAGATGAAATGGGTAGGTTCCTAAGAGCACAACATTTGAGAAAGAAGTTGTGTCGAGATCTCTCTCTCTCTCTTTGTCTCTCTCTCTCTATTTTACAGCTTCTAGTAATTTTGCGCACCATGGGAATCAATGTCATCTTCCTCTCCTCTGCTTTGCTCCCTACTTGACCCCAGGTGTTTGGAAGTTGGGAAATGGTCGAAGAAGTGAAGCTTGACACATGACCCATCAAATGGGGTCACAAATCTCCTACGAGCCCATAGATAGTCCTTACTTTCAGGCTTCTTCAAGCCTCATAAGAATGTTAGTTAAAGCTAGATTTTTGTGTTTTAACTAGTTTTATTATTTGATTTTATTTTTTTAACTTGTAGAATAAATATAAGATACATTGTTAATTTTAAAAGTCTGAAGTTAAAATACTTGGCATAATTTTTTATTAAAAGAATAAAATATAAAAACTCTTCGGCCTACTAACAAGTCGGCACTTAGTAGTTGACTTGGAGGGGGGCAGCAGTCGAGTGGGTAGACCCAGACTAGGGGAGCCACGAGCTGGGCTTGAGTGGCAAAGGCCTCGCTTGGTGCATGTGTGCGTCACTCCCCTTCCACGTCCTAGTGGCCAACTAGTCGTGGGGCGAGCGCCTATACACACATGCACGTGCGAGGGTGGACCACCTTTTTGTCTTCTCCCAAGATGGTCCTAGAGATTATTTTATTTTGGGAGAAGGGATCTCTACTAAGAGAGCGTAGCTTTAGTTTATATTCGACACATGCGTCTAAAATATTTTTGATGTGGGATTAAATATTTTCGTTTGTTTCAGCATAGCCATTTGAAGTGCGGTGCGATCTAGCAGTACACAGCGAGCCACATCATTAGATTAGCCATATCCTATGGCTGATGAACTGCCACGATACTAGATGCGTAAAGTGATCCATCAGTGGTTCGTGAATCTGACGCCAATCAACATGCTCGTGACCTTAAAGGATGATCCGATGGCTTAGGATGTGCCATAGTACTAGGGACTTAAGTTATTGGTCGGCAGTGGTTCAGGGCAGGTTGATCCCACGTCGCTCAGAGTGCCATGTGACCAAACATATATGATCCAGCAGCTCATGAAGTACTGTAATACTGAGAACTTAAGTCCTCACACATCATCATTAGTGACATAAAGATAATAATCAATTGTTGTTTGGTAAAACAAATATTATCAGTTATCTTTAAAATCTCGACAGTAGTCGTGAATATGGCAACCCCTTCTTCCCTCCTTTTGTGCAATCAACATCTCTGGTGATCAACAAGTTCGTTCCTTCCTCCCCCAACTGTACTTGAGGCCTTTGACAAGTGGTCAACTCTTCCCTTCTCTCCTCAAACAACAGTGACAATGTGGTCGACCCCTCTTTCGATGGATCTTTCGGCAAGTGGTGTAGCATTTTTGGACAATACTTCTGTGACTTTCGATGTGGTGTGACATGTTCGGACGAAACCAAGCCATCACACCGGTGTCTCTAGTTGTCCAAGAGGCAGACTAAACTTGGGCAATGATTTATTTCCTACTTTCAGTATTTACTTACATGCTTTTGTCATTTATTATATTTTACGGTAAGTTCTTTCTGTCTCATGCATGTTTCGATTGAAATAAGTAGAACTAATTCAAAACTTGATGAGTGATCTTTGTTCTTCTTTTGAATCCTCTGAAACTCATCTAAGATCAAGTTAAGATCATTTTCAACTTGTTTTCTATTAATTTTTGCAGTTAAATCTTGATGTATTCACATTCTCAACATTCTACAAATAACGAGTATTTTTCTATTTTTGAACCTGAAATCACTGAGATTAAAGGCTAATTAATGAGCATTAACAAACTGAAGACATTTATGGCTGACCTCATGTCATGTGTGTGAATCTTCGAGCACACATTCATATGAGAATAATGGTCACCGTGAAAACGGGTTGACCGTATTTCTCTCTTTCTTCATTTTTGTTTTATTTATCTCTCTCCCTCTCTCGTGAGACCTCTCTTCTCTCTCCGTCTCTCGTAAGATCTCTCCCTTTCTCTCTCTCTCTCTCTCTCTCTCTCTCTCTCTCTCTCTCTCTCTCTCTCTCAATTTATCTCCTTCTCTTTCTCTCTCTCGATTGATCTCCCTCTCTCCTCCTCTCTCTTTCTCTCCCTTTCACGAGAGATCTCATCCATTCTCTCTCTCTTGAGAGCTTTCTCTTTTCCTCTCTCTTTCTCTCTCTTTCACGAGAGATCTCATACCTTCTCTCTCTCAAGAGAGCTTTCTCTCCTCTTCTCTCTTTCTCTCACTTTTGTGAGAGATCTCATCTCTTCTCTCTCTCATGAGAGCTTTCTCTCCTCTCTCCTTCTCTCCATTTTGCGAGAGATCTCATCCCTTCTCTCTCTTGTGATACCTTTCTCTTCTCTTTCTCTTTTAGTCCTTCCTTTTCTCCACTTTCCTTCCTTTATTCTTCTCATCTCATCCTTCTATTTTTTTTAAAATATTAATAAAATATTAAAATCACTTTATATATAAACTAAATTAGTTTTTATGACAGATTAATCAATATCATTCAAAGCATCAACCACCACTGACATGGGGGAAATGCTGGTTGTTTCTTGACATAGGTATATACAAGCAAGACCATTAAAGATGATGTGACCCTTAAGAAGCAAATTAGTTGAGAGAGGAAATAAAGAGGCCACTAGTCTACAAGAAGAGAGAGAAAAGAGGGAACATGAGAGAGAGGCAGCATCCTCCTCATGGCACTATAAGAGAAACTAAGTGTAGGAAGAAATATGTAAGCATAGGATCACAATAATAGGATAAACTTAATTTTTGGATATTAATGAGAGTAAATATAAGAGAAATCACCAAATCATGAGGAATTATGATGACAACAAGTCTTTTATAAAAATTTAACTAAAATCTCAATATCTTTGAGATGACTCACACACTAACTTTTCTCTCCTTCTATAAAGGCTCACCTATAATAGAAGGAAAAAGAGAGACCAAGAAAAAGAGATGAGATTGATGAAGAAAGGGAAAACAATCAAGAGAGAGAGAGATCTAAGGAAAGTAAAATATTCCTCATCCATCATCCATCTTGGTGTCACAAAAGAAGAAATATATGCCCTATTTATAGAAAAAGAGAAAAGGTAACTGCCCCTTCACAAAGGGGTATTCTCGACCTACATGTAGTTAAGTCCACACATCTTGGAGGTGATGGTTCCAATCACCTTTGTTTCTCACTCTGTTTCCTTACATGACCCCCGAACGAGTTAATAGGGATGAAGTGACAATTGTGACACTATCCTCCACTTCTTGCACGTTTCTCCTTAATAGGTCAGATGGGAGGAGACTTGTCGCACATCTCTTGAACAAGTCAGATGTGATGGGCTGACATTATCAACAAACTTCACCTTGATAGCCATGATCGTTGCACCTAGAGTCAACATTTTTTAAACTATAAATTCTTCACCTTCATTCTTCTTTGTGCGAACCCTCTTTAAAAAGATATTTCTAAAATTTAATAATTTACAAATCTTATGATATGGCACATCAATATGCTTCAACTATGCATGATAGACTTGATTTTTGTCAAGTAAATAACACTTTGATTGTCACAATATATAAGAACTTCATCTTGTTGAATTTTAAGTTCACTCAACAACCCTGTCCACCATAATGCCTCATTGGCCACTTATTGTCATGTACTCCACCTCAGTCATAGATAATACAATAGTAGTTTGAAGTTTAGACTTCTAACTCACTGTTCACTAGCCATAGTGAAAGTATATCCCATCATAGATCTTTGATGATCTAAATCCTCAACAAAATCTACGTCAACAAAGTTAATAGTAAATTATCTAATTTTGTTAATTAAAATAAGTTCTAAAATCTAAATAACTCTTTAGATATCAAATAATCAACTTCACTACACTTCAATACTCTTTTTCTAGATTGCTTATAAATTAAATAACAAGTCTAACTACATGAGTAATATTTGGTCTTACACATATGATAGCATACGTAAGAGAGTCAAATACACTAATATAAGAAATTTACTTCAACTTAGTAATATATTATTTCTATGTTAGATATTGAGTAGTAGATAATCTGAAATGACTAGTCAGAAGAGTATCAATTATTTTAACATTATCCATATCAAATATATTGACGTGACCTAGTTGTTCTATAGTAAATCATGCAAATTTAAAATTTATAAAATTAGAAAATATCAATTTTCAGATATTTAGAAATATTTCTAAACAAATATATCAATTATAATTCAATAAAACTTCCAAAAATAGTGGTAATTTTCTTGATTGATCATAAAGATGTAATATAATATCTGGTAATTTTTCAATTTTTTTTCAAAGAATATGATTTTCTATGAATTTTATACTAGAACATGAAAATAAAATATATTTAAAATTCACAAAAAATAGAAATAAGGGTGCGGACATCAGGATGACATCAACGCCTGACGAATGTAAATCAAGCAAAAATAGAGTTCCACCCGGTGATTCTTACGTAAGTAATTACAAACGATTTATTTGATCAAATTAAGATTTGTAAAAGCTAGAAGAATCGTAATTGAATGAAGTATAGCTTGGTAAATTTAAATCACATAAATTATTACTAAATGAAGTAAAAATTAAGTTGAAAGTAGGAAAACAAAGTTCCGACATCATGGCGGCAATCCATTGGTGATGCACTGGAATCCTAATTATTTGAGAGAATCATCGTGTAGTGTCCATGGCCTCAAATGCTCTCTTTGGACAAGGATGACGTGGGTAATCTCTAGATCTCCTTGTGAAGTCTAGAGATCAATGAAATGGGTTGTCGAGTCATCTTCGGCAGCTATCACCTGATGGAGTGAATAAACGATGACTTTACGACTCTTTGGTGGCTGTCACCCGACAGAGAGGAGTTAGATAGAGGTGGGGCGCGTGTTAGAGAGCTTCATCCTCAGGTCTGTGCAGCAAGAGAAAGCTCTTCATCACATCTGGTACGCTCTCAGGAGATGGCGACTCGTCTCCCGACGGATCATCCTCTTCTTGACGACAGCTTGTTCATCAATCAATCAGAGATTATTTACTTGATAGATTTGCGATCCTTTTATTGCGAATCATTCAGCAATTTTAGTAACAATGCTTTACGAATTGTGTTGACAAGATTTTTGTTGATGATCTAATGATTTTGGTGGCTTAATCCTTCACCGAGAATCTACAAGAAAGTCACGATAATCAAATAAAAATATGAGTTTTGGCTCTAGGAGGATTCGAACCTGTGTCAGTTGCTCGCCTACATGAGAGAGATTGAAAGCAATGAAGAAGGGGTATTTTAGGTATATCTCTATTATAAAGAAGGGATATTTTAGGTATTAAAATCTTCGAACCCTTTCGGGGGAAGGTGTGATGCGGGTTTAGTCTCACATCACTTGTGTGCTAAAGTTTCGAGCGAATATATAGTAATATTACATTTGCCAGCAATGAGTCCATTTCTCCTGCGTGTACGACCACTCCTTGCCCCAAAGCTAGTTGACCACCGGTGACGTGGAAAGGGAGTGGAGCACACATGTGCCCCCATCAGTCCCAGCCGCTCAAGCCCCTACTCGCGGCTCCTCCCTAACTGCGCTTTCGACCCGCTTGTGGGCTTGGCTAGCTGATGGGTCCCCCCCATTTTGCTATATTTTTATTTTTATTTCTTTTTCTTTATTTATCTTTAAAATAAGACTATAAAAATCATATAAATTTATAGAAAATCACATAATTAGTCAAAAATTCACATTAATCAACTTAAAACCACTTCTTACACTTTAACACAAATATAAGTCTATTTATCATGTGTTATATTATTTACTAATTATTAACTCATGATAATGAAGACTTATCATATATCTACTACTTTAGAAAGATAATTCTTTTGAGTCAACCATATCAAACTTGATTCCTAGTTTCTTTGGATCTCCATACCAAAAATTTATTTTGATACATTCAGATTTTTTATGTCAAATTTTCTATTCAATAGTGTCTTCAACTTAACAATTCATGTGAATTCTTCAAAATAATGAGCATATCATTAACATAAAACATCATAATATTTAGAGAACCATTACTAGAGGTCCTCATATAAACACAATAGTAATATTTGTTCTCACTAATATCTAAAAATTGAGTTTCTACTATTATTGTGACATTGTGTTTGTATATTTTTCCTATAAGTGGTATCAAAGTATTAATTTAACTATTTATAGACTTGTTATAACTTTTAAGATGTACACTAATATCCAAAAGTTAGATAAGTAATCTAATTTTAATATCTAAAAGTATCATGTGTATAATACATTATTGCAGATGAATTTGTATAAGATTTTGGATTGACCAAGGGCAAATAAGATCAATGTTGATGATTGACAGATAATGGAGAAGAAGGTTAGAGGTTTTATTTATACATATTTTTCTGATTTTGTTCTTTACTAGGTCATAGATGAATATAATCTCAAGGAGCTCTAGAAAAAGTTAGAGAAATGATGTGCACCAAAGCCAATGATGAACAAATTGACATTGAAGCAAAAGCTATTTGAGTTATGGATGTTAGAAGGAGATGATTTAGTATCTTTGAGATAAATGAAGAAAATAAAATAAAATAAAAATATAAAAAAAGAGGTGGACCTGCCGACTAGTCGAGCTTGCTAACAAGTCAAAAGCATAGTCAAACAAAGCCATGAGCAATGTGCTCAAGCAACCAAAGATTGGTAGGGGACATGTGTGTCACTCTCCTTCCACATTAATAGTGGTCAGTTGGGTGTGGGGCAAGTAGTAGTCGTACACATACGAGATAGAGACTTATTGATCGTAAAATCTTTTGCTATTATATATACATCTTAAAACTCGTAAAATAATTGATATGAGACTAAATTAAGTTTTGAAAGTTTTTAATAATTTTTATACTTAAAATACCCTCATTTATAAGAACAAGATATTATTATGATGTCACTTTATAAAGATATTCAAGTATTTATTTCACTCTCTCTCATTCAAGTAGACAACTAGTGAGGGTTCAAATCTTACTAGAGTCAAAATTCATATTTTTATCTGATTAAATCATAACTTTCTTGTAGGTTCTTGGTAAACAATAAAGTTATTAAAATTATTCAGTTATTGGTGAAAATGTTGTCAACATGATTCACAAAACATCATTACTAAAATTACCGAATGATTATAAATAAAAAGATCATGAATCTATCAAGTAAACTATCTCTAATTGATCGATGAATAAGTCATTATCGAGAAGAAGACGATCTATCAGAAAACAAGTCACCACCTCTTGAAAGCATATCATATATACTGAAGAGCCTCTTGTTATTGTGTGGACCTAAGGATGAAGCTTCCTAAGATGCACACTACCTCCATCTAACTCATCTCTATTGGATGGCAGTTGTTGAAGAGTTGCAAAGTCACTATTTTTCTACTCCATGGGCTGACAATCATTGGAGACAATTCAACGATTCATTTCATTAATTTCTAGACTTTACAAAAAGATCTAGAGATTGTCCAAGAAGAGTCATTGAGGTCATAGACATTGTTCGATAGTCCTCTTAGATGCTCAAGATTATAATGTATCACCGTCATGACCCTAGAA